AAAGAGGGACGCTCTTTGGACGTGACCCCTTCTGCCAAAAGCTTGCATTTGTACAATGCTGAATCAGCCCAAGGGAACACCTAGCCCGGCACCTGCCTCTCCTAGTAGCCATGAATGGACCCAGGGAAAAGCAATACAAAAATTTTTTAAAAAATGAGATTTCTCCTATGACTGTCTCAAGGCTCTGTGTGTTTCCAGCTCTGCAGATTTGCTGAGCCAGATGTAGCTTCTGCCAGTTTAACAGCCCTGAGCAGCTCTATCATTCAAGCGTTCAGCCAGTCTCCTCCAGACCCCCTGTAAATTTTTAACTGCATCCTTTGGCAGGGAGTCCCACAGATCGCTGCCTGTTGTATGAAAAGTTGCCTCCCCAGTCCTTTTAGACCTGCCCCCTGTATGAGAGATGCTGTGATCCCCCTGAGATCATCTATTGGAAGAGACAGCGCAGAGCCAGTCTGACAATCCTCAGAGCGGCTGGTGTGACAAATCCAGCCTTGACCTGCACCGCAGAGTAGACCCCAGCATGCAAATAGTGGCCAGCAAGCATGTGACCCTAGCAGAAGCAGTCAAAAGTTGAACCTGAGCCTGTGCAGAAGCCTTTACACACCTCCTGGGGGTGTCGCAGGCACTCACAGCACTGGGGGGTGTCGGGATTTCTCCAAGACTAGCTGTGATGGAGCCAAATAGCTCAAAGGGGACTTCAGAGAATAACAGAACGGTTGAGGTTTGAGGAGACCTCTAGAGGTCATCTAGTCCAACCCCTCTGCTCAAGGACCCTGTCCAGACGTCTTTTGAGTATCTCCAAGGATGGAGACTCCACAACCTCTCTGGGCAACCTTGTGCACGAGACGAAGTGAGGCCTTGAGCCTAACGAGTCTCCCCTTCCACTGATCCCTGCCGTATTCAGAGAGCGACTAATGGTGCGTGTACTTTTCTAGAAGCTGCCGGCGCAGCACGTTAATCACGAGGGTGTATTTTACTTTCTAACATCGGGACTAATCTCCCATCTGTCCTAAGGCACTGTTGACTCTACGTATGTGCCCATTCAAGCACCTGCTCCTAATGAGGAGAACAGACAAACAGAAAGGCCCGACTGGGGTGCCTAGGTGCATGGCTAGAAAGAGGGGCAGATGGCTGAATTATGAAGTATCCAGGGCCCCTGCCACAATTTGCTCATTCTGCAACAATCTCTGCTGGCATCAATGTTTCGTGCATTCATTTTCTGCTTCCAAGAAGCCTTTCATCTCTGTGTGATTTATAGCCAGGCAGGCGAGATGCTCAGAGGTGTCGGACGTCACTAAGTCTCAGAGCTTAGGTGGACTCTCGGTGCAGGACTGAGAATGGGCCATGGGTTATGCTGGGTGAACGTGGACATCATACTGTTTCTATATTTGCATTTTAACCGTTATGAGCGTGCTGACTCGAGGCAAATTGGAAGGGGAAGGAAAACATGGCTGGGACGTATATTAGGAAAAGCTGTGGGGATGACGATTGAGCTGAATGGCGAGAGAAAGTCCTGAAAAAAACATTCTATGCTGGTTAATTCTACCATTGGTCACAATTCTGGGTGAAAAATAACACAAAACCTTATGTGGCCATTCCCACCTTCCTCTGGCAGATCACAGCCACGAGAGTTGCTGGCTTGGTGCTCACCTCGGTGAAAGGAGAGGGAGGACAGGAGAGGAAAGAATGCAGAACTGCGAGAAGAGGAGACGGAGGTTTTTTTTCCCTTAGAAAGGGTTGGGCATCCATGGACCAGAAATCTCCTCCATCAATTGACGTTAAGGGTTCCTGTCTTCTTGCACTCCTTTCTTTATGCTGCTATCAAACTGATTGCTTTGTAGCCGTGCTCTGATTTATGCTGGCAGCAACAAACCAGCTTTTTAAATCATTTTTCAAATGAGCTTCTTGAGGCACTTACAGGAGAAATGAGCAGCCCTTGCCTGGGCTACATATAACCAAGCAATTCCTTTCCAACTCTATTTCTGGTTGCTTATCATTTTCTCTTGATACTTTCTATTGAGATAACCCTGTGATATATTTTGTTTGTTGCAGTGCACACCTCTTTCCAGCTACTGCATTTTTCATCTTGCACTGCATTACCATATTATTTGCTGGACTTGTTTTTGTGTGTATTTATTTTTTTCTCCCAGGCTGATGCTGGCCACAAAGCTAAATGCATCCCTGGGTGCTTTATGATGCCCCCAGATGGCACATCTCTTTCTGATAAATGTTCCCCTGTATCTCTAGTGGCCTATATGCCACTAAAGTCTAGATTCCTACCAACCTCAGTTGGTCCTGGGTTGGATCTTTTGAATCAGACTCGCAAATGCATTTTGGAGCTTAATGGCGATCTGTGAACCCATCTCCCTGCTCTAATCCAGGGCATAAGCAAAAGAGAGAAGGGAAGGTCCACATCTTTGCCAGAGTATGTGTTCATGTTTGGACGATTTGGTCTGGGTGAGGATTTTTCTGAGAAGTTAAGGTTGGCGCCACCTCAGCACATTTTTCCAGCTAGCTTCAGCTGTGGGCAGAGCTTGCAGCATGCACAGAGCTCCCTGTTTGGCTTGCACGTTCATCTCTCTGAAACGCCTCCAGTATCATGGGATCAAAGGCTGAGAGTCCTTCGCAGGTTTGCTGTCACAATGACCCAAGGAGATAAGGCAGTGGTGTTATCCCCATGTGGCAGGCCATGAGACCAACACGCAGAGAAATCAAGGAACTTGAACAAAACCAGGAGGGAAATCTGTAGCAGAGAACAGACTTCAACAAAATCCCTTAAACCTTGGGTCAGGCCCCTGGTCACTAAACTACCCTTCTTCTGGAAACTATTTAACACAGTAACTTGATCCTCCGATCTAGATTGTTCACGCTGTTTATTCATTCTTTTCCCCTCCTCTTGTCAGAGGTCAAACAGTCTATGAAGGGCTGCGAGTGCAGCGTTCCCAAACCATGAGGAAAGTTAATACCCGACACTGCATAGCCCAGGTTTTATACAATCCAGCCCTGAACTACGTAACTTGGCTGCTCCGAAGGCTGCAGGGCTGGGGTTGAGGTACAGTGGGGAGGGACTCTCCTCCCTCCTGGGTTGGCTAGGTTGTCACTTCCTCATCCGTGGGATGGCAGTTGTTTCTCTATTCTTTCTGGGTGAGTTGAACTTTTAATAATTGCCAAAGGACTTAGGGGTCCAGCCAAGCAAATCTGTGTGTAAACATCTAAGCAGGACAAGTTATTGACCTAAAGTTTTCTTGGTAAAGTAAGACCAGCCTCCCATCTCAGAAGGGTCTGAGGGATGCCAAATTAACATGAATGACCTGTGGCCTGACGGCAAAGAGCTTTTGTCTGCTTGGGGGAGAGCTGTGCTTTCCAAGCTGAGCCATGGGTTTACTGGCTTCCCCGAGATTTCCCTTGGATGCTGGTCTGTGTCCTGGAGGCACCTGGCAGCTCTCAATTCACATTGAATCAAGAGCAGTAGTGGAGGGCACTGGAGGGCAGAGGGAACGATGTGAGTCATGGAGATCCTGGGATCTTTTGCTTTCTGTGCCCTTTTCTGTTTGTGGGGAGCAGTTCAGTTCAGAGATGGAGAGAGGATGAAATGCCTGCTGACAGCAGTAGTAGCCCCTCATCAATGGTGTTGTGAGGCCTGGCTGCAGGGTGCAAAGCCTTCCAGATGGGTGATCTTGGCCCTCCTAACAAATAAACTTAACCTTGTGTTTTAAAGGACAGAGTCTACTTTTTGCTTGGACCTCAATGCACAATTTAAACTATAACTCAGGATTTACGAAGGGCGTCTGTAACAGGACGGAGAAATCCTGCCCTGAAGGTCTTGATATGTCTCCACAGATGACAGAGGGAGCAGAGGGTGACTAGCTTGAATGCTGCTGTTTGCCCTGCAGAGGTAAAGGCTAGGTGGCATAAAGGTCTCTCTGGACACCAAAGGGCTGTCCACTGCTGCAAGTCGGGAGGGACTGGGATACTCTCAGGGCTAAGTGCAGCTGTGGTGTGGAGGAAACCCGGATGAAAGCCTTTTCCCTGATGCATACAAAAAAAAGCAACACGCACTCTGAAGAGGACAAGAAGGAAGCCACTGCTTGGGACACCAGCAGAAACAGGCCAGAAAAAGGGACACACTCCAGCCTTGAGTGCCTTTGTTAGATGTTCAAATGTAGGTATAGGAAGCTGGTCCTTCATGGAGAGTTGGTTTCATATTTGCAGTTGTATAGCACTCCCAGTAACTTCCTGGTAGCTGAAACCGGCTTTTGCTATGTCTGCTCAAAGTGTAGGTTCAAGACATGGTGACACTCTGCCCATTTTCCCTGGCTCCCTCTCTCAGAGACGTGGGTGAGGCCTGCTCCATGTGCTCATCAGCCGTGTTAGCGAAATGCACATGCTTGCTTTCAGGAGCTGTGATAAGAGCCCATGTACTGGTGAGGTTCTCAAGCAAATTAATCCAAATTCATTTTAAACTGGATTAGTTAAACCGCATTAACATCCCAAGTAGATGCTCTTAGCTGGAATTAAACTGGCCTGTGTTTGGTATTTGTTTTGTTTTCTAATTCATTTTGGAGTGGAATTAAGCTAATTGGAATTAGGGATTTGTCAGTTCTGGGTGAATATATCAGCACAGGAGTTCAACACTGATTTAACGAGGCTGCT